CTTTGTTTCTTCCTTTTCTCATGTGGTCTTCATTTACCATGGTCTCCTATTCCTTGTTCTCCCTCTCTGTTCTTGATCCAGGTGGGATCTCCCGCTCTCTTTCCCTCGACCCTCGCCGTTCATTGCTCTCACTCATGTCCAGGCTGTTCATGTAGATCTCATCCATTTCTCCATCATTGGGTGATCCCCGTGTCTTTCTTGGGGTCCTGTTTTCCAGGTAGCCTCACTGGTGATGTGAATAGCAGTCCAGTCATCCTTGTTGAGCCTTCTTAGCACAGTAGGCAGTTTTTAAATCTTTTGGATGGTGCTCCACCATTGATATCCCCATGGTCACTTAGATGTCTTGTGTCTTTCCACATGTCCCATTGTAACTTCATTTCCAGAGCTGTCTTTGCTTATCTTGGCTTATTTTCATGCTCCTCGGTCAAATCGCCTTTAAATTGTGTACTCTGTAAATTGTCATGAGGATCTATCACTCCCAAGAGATAAAGATTCCACAAATTTCCTTTTTATTCTTAGTATGTGACCAGAATAACAAATACTTAGCTACCAGTCTGAAAGAAGTGATGTGATTGGTCACTGGCTGAGATGGTTAGGGTTAATATTCAGTTTGACAAAATACGTGTCATCACCTGGGAGATGGGTCTTCAGGCACGCCTGTGGAAGACAGGCTTGATTATATTTATTAATGTGAGGGGGCTATGTCTTAATTTTGAGGGAGAGAATTTCCTGAACAAGAACATATGTGTGTAGATTTATCCAACCGTCTTATTAAATAAGAAACACAGAACCAATGCAAAGAAGAAAGCCAAGAGATCAGCGCTGAGAGCCTTACCCATCTGCTGCAGCTAGCCTCTTCAGCCAAGAGACCTATTTCCTGTGTTTTTGTCTTTATATAGACTTTATGTTCTGCCTTCTCATTGGTTGTAAACCCAACTACATGACCGCCTCATCACTGCCTGTCTGTACAGACCTCCAGGTCTTCTATGGTTGGTATTGAGATTAAAGGTGTGTGTCTCCAATGATGGCTATATCCTTGAACACACAGAGATCTACCTAGCTCTGCCTACCAAGTGCTGGGATTAAAGGCGTGCACCACCACTGCCCAGCTTTTGCTATGGCTCTAATAGCTCTGACCCCCGGGCAACTTTATTTATTAACATACAAATCACATTTTAGTACAAATAAAATATCACTATATATGTGTGTGCATATATGCCATATATATGTGTATATACATATATGTGTGTATACATATATATATTTGTAAAAATATACCTCATATACATATAATATATATGATACATAAGACCCTCTGATGGAGAAAAATCATTTGATCACTACCAAATATTTTTTGTACTCTGCTGTATAAATATGGATACAATGTGACTCTCCAGTTTCTTGCTCTTACCACCAGGCTGTCCCTGCTGCTCCACATCTCCCCCTCCCCCCCATGATGGATTATACCCCTACAGAACTGTAAGCCAAAAAAGAAGCCCCTTTCCCCTTAAATTGCCTCATGGGGGCATTTTATCACATTGATGGTAAACTAACCACAACACTAGTCCTGTATGCCCCTAGTACCTGGAGGACTGAGGGCTGGTAGTATCATTTGTCATTTATGTCACAACTTGAAAAGCATTGTGGTGGGAGTGATATTGTTTAAATTACAGTGACTTAAATTTCTGAAAGTCAGAACTCTAAAAATCAAGCAGGTTTACAGGCACATACAATCCAAAGACATACACAATCAATACATTATATCATACCCTGTTTATTTATTTATCTATCTATCTATCTATCTATCTATCTATCTATCTATCTATCATCTACCTAATGATGATAAATAAAAATATAAAAATGATGATAAAATATAAAATATAAAATATAAAAATGATGATATAAAAATTTATTTATTTTTTTATTTAAGGTCAGAGTCACTAACCGTACCTTTTGCATGCTAGGTAAGCACACTTACCATTGAGCTACAGGCCAAGCACTCATACCATAGTCGTATTTTTGTCTTTAGGTATAAAATCATGTCTTCATCTTTATTATTGAATACAAGGAATGACATAAAATGTTTACATCTAAATAAAAGACTCATCAAGTTTACTGATACTTTAAGTACTAGAAAGAAAGTTCTCTGAGGAGTCTGACCATTTGTGGATGTAACTGCTACCTGGTGGAGTTATCAGTTATCAGAGGTTCAGTTACCAGAGCTTGCTTTTTTTTTTTCATTGTAATTTGTGGAATCTCTGTGTTTAACAGACAGAGTCCTCAAAAGAAGGTAAGGAATTCAAACCAGGAAGATTTGGATTTAATACTTGAATTTTTAGAAGTTTGTGTCAAATTTAATATATAACAAGAACCCATTCCTCACCCATCTCTGCACCCACCTCATTATAAGTTCCTTCTTGAAACTGGTCTGGCTCTGGGACATATTTTAGTCAACTGAATGAGATGGGCAAGTGGCACTGTGCCAGCACTCACCAAGCTTCTGCTTTTTCAAGCCAACCTGCTGAGGCTCTTCAGTTCCCTGATAAAGTTATATGGACTATATAGAGAAGACATCAGATTCCCAAGCCATCCAGGACCAGCATATGGTCTCATAACTTTCAGGTACATGAGAAAAGTTATGTATGCCTTTTAACTATAATTTAGTCAATACATGTAAATCATTTGATACATAGAACCATTGAATAAACTGCTGGATGAATGAAGGCTGGACTCTGTTCACCAGGATCAATATCTCCAAGGAAACATGGTTAAAATGAAAAGTTTCTATGTAGTTTGGAGTTTTTCTTTATTTAAAAACAATTCAATCAAAATATACTTAATTTTTCTTCTCAAGAGAAATAAAAACACTGCCAGTTTTCAACTAATGACAATTTTATAAATAAGAATGAAATGCAAATGTGTTTGTATTGTGCAAAGTGGTGTTCAATATCGCCTTTCAAAAGAATGCCATGGATTTGATTCTCATCTTAGGTGCCAGTGTGCTCACTCACCTGTGTTTTCTTGTTTGAAACTCTTCAGTTAACACATGTGAAAGATGGCAGTCTGAATTTATAATTAAGACCCTATGAGTCACAAGAATCATGGTTTAGGGAAACATATTTCATCATCAGTCAAGTATATCCTGTGGATTCATTAAACTAAAAAATAATTGTAATCTAAATTGAAAGTGACAGAAGAGAAAGATTTAAACAGTCTTCTTTTCCTTAGTTTGAGATGTAGTCACTTGTAATCTGGAATAAAAATGCCTTGATTTGTATTTTTTAAATAATGATAATTCATAGCATTCACAAAAAAAGGCAAATTGTGAGATTCATATTTTCGGTGTACGAATAGAACCATTTGTCACATGTTGAGGGCAACAACCTCTCAGAGCACAATCAGAGTTAACTAGATGATGCCTATAGAGACAGGATGAAGGGACATTTGCTTCTTAGTTCCTTGTCATTTACAGGAAGAAGACTGGCTATAAATTGCAATGCCTGTTTGGTGTCCAAAGTTGTAATGGGATGCAGATAAAGCCACAGAACATGTGGTGATACGTAGATGAATAGTTATAGGCTAATTTAAGATTTAAGACCTAGCTAGCAAAAAGCTTGAGCCATGGCCATGCACTTATAATTAATATAAGCCTCTGTGTGTTTCTTTGGGGGACACAAGTGGGAGAGATTTATCCCGACTGCCAGTGGTCCAGGACACAGGAAATCTTCCGACCATACAAAGTAGTTTCCAGAAGTTTGTGAGTTGTAACTACAGAGCTTGTCAAGATCCCAGGATGATTCCTGGAGTGTAGGTCCCATTTTCCTGACCTAGAAGGTATCAAAATGGCCAATATGGGACATTTTTAAACACTCTCCAGCCAATATGGGAGCTCTTAACTCTGTGCACATTAGCAATCATTCTTTATTCCTCTACTCCAATAAAGACCAATCCATGAGGAAAAAGAAATTTATTTTTAATTTAATTTTAAAATTTTTATTTGAAAAATACAATACACAGCAGAGAATTATTTCCTCCCCCACTGTTCTTTCACAAAGGAAACTATGGTAAATGTAACCGAGATATTTGGCTAGGATAGATCCTGAGAAAAAGAGAGGCCCAGTTAGAAGTTGAATAGACAAAGTCTGTCAAAGAAGATTCACCTCTCTTTTAACATAAAAGAGCCTTTTAAGATCCCTTAGGCATCGGATAAGACTTGTGCAGAATTTCTGCCATGCAAACAGAGACTACTGAAGTTTTCAGCTTGAACAATGTACACTGACCTGGGCCCCAAGGAAGTAGAATAAAAATGGAAGTGTCTATCAGAAAGGTATGTGATTGCCTGCTTTTACTAGACTATGTATGTACATATTTATATACTGATATTAGTGCTTTCTTTTGCAGGTCCTGGGGATCAAACCCAGGGCTCATGCATGCTAGGCAAGTGCTGTACTGCTGAACTCCAGCTCCTGCCATTGTTTAAACATTTTCTTAAATGTGTTTTCCATTATTCTCAGTAATAGCATCATGGTTAAGTAGTCTCTGCTGGGTTTAGTTTATTCCCATGCATCTTTATTTTTTTCTATACTTCATAATTGCACAACCTTGGGTCTCTAATGCTTAAATATTAGAAGCTATTTCACTCTGATCCTGTTTTTTTTTTCTGTTAAATTCTTAACTCTTTTATAATGTCAGGTTTTAGGAAGGTGCAAAACTTCATTTCTAACTTTGACATCCTGATATAATGTTAAGGCTACCAAGGGGGAAACAATTCCTTCTTGGGTCCTTCTAAAGTGGGTGTAGAACCAGTAGAATTAAACAATTGCACAAGCCCAACCAGCCACCCTGCCTCTGCTTGATACCCTCTCTTTTATTTTGCTCATACCCTTTATTCCAGTCCTAGGAAGCAAATTGCCCATTGCTAATGCTTTCTGAAACAGTGTCTTAAAAAAGGGTCAAGATATGCAAAGTTTGTTATAAATTTCCAAAGAATTGAATTGCCATAGGTGTGTCAATTTTAGAAAAGGGAATTTCCTTATTTGGCTTTTAGTAGAAGTATTTTGATTCTTGCAGGATTGGAATTGGACAAATGAAATCCATTTGTAAGCAATAGACACGTCTTTGGTTTTAATTATTTGCTGAATTCTGTTGAAATAAAGAGAGTAAATTAAATATTTACTTTCAACTCTCTTAAGACTAGAAAGGTTGTTTTTTTTTTTTTAATCAATTTATGCATATAAGTCAAAGCATCTTGGGTTAGCTTTAGAGATTGCAAAGTGACTCATTACTTCATCTTCCTTACATTTTGGTGATTCTTTTCATCTTTAATTCCACATGGTTACTGTAAAATTGGTCCCTTGGCCTCTTTCCTGAATGGCAGCTGAGGTGGACTTCTCAAAGATCCTTACACCCAGTCACTGGAACTTCATTATTTCTGAATAGAATTATAAATAGAACCCTAGATAGCTCTGTATTTGAAAAATATGTTTTATGTTCATTCACATAAGGTAAACGGTAAATGTTTAAAATACTGCAGACCTTCTGTAACTCTATTTTGTCATTTCTTAATTTTTTTTAAAAAACATAGGTAGTTTCTCTGGACTCTAATGACCTCATAATGGCCTCAGTGTCATGAATGTTGAGGCAGCTGTGGCATATTTGAGGAGAAAGGATGTAAGTTCAGGGTAAATCTGAATTTCGGATTTAACTCTCTTCTTGACTGTTGGTATGAGATTGGTCATGTTATCATATTGGCTTCATTTCTCTCAAGTGTAAATAAATCCATCTTTCAATATTTATACAGGATTGCTGTGAGGATTAAATGACAAAATAAATATAAATATATTTTAATTAAAGTATTAGACAATTACAAAAATACATTAATCATATTTCTACCATCTACATAATAGTATGCTAAGGTGTAGTTCTTTCTCATCTAAATTATTTGGATTCTTGACCAGTAAGAAAGATTAAGAATGGACTGTAGCCATTCTTGAGACACTGTTAATGATGGAAAGTTACTCAATAATAAGGTATCATCATGGCTGGATTTACCTTAATCTATTCTAAATATTGCCTGCATTCAAAAACTGTAACTCAACCATTAAACCACAACTATCAAAGAAAAAGTCCAAATAAATAATTTTAATTATGATACATTACTCAGTGACAGTAAAAATTGGCAATTTCCCCTTTAAAAGCAGAAGCACCAGTCTTAGAATGTGTAGTATGAATGGTATTTAAGTGAAATATAGCATAATATAATGAGCAAACAATTTAGTATAGGACATACTTTCTAAAAGTAAAGTGATTTCACACACTGAAATCTGTTAGAATGGAAATAATGTCATGCTGCATAATAAAAAGCCCCCATGACTTTCAAAATTAACTTCAAATTAAATATGCTGTACTGTTGAACAGATATATGAAAAATTAAAAAGGCTTAACTAGCCCAAAATAGAGGGTTTCTTTTATACAAATATAGCCCACATTGAGGTTTCTTTTCACATAGTCACAGAGATTCTTGTGAGAAACTAAAGCAACCATTTTATTTAAGAATTAATTTGTTCATTTTATCATCATGATTTTACTGAACACCCACACTTTGTGCTAGGCTTTGTGGTAGGTGTTGGGGATACAGAAAAGAAAGCCATGGTCCTGCTCTTGAGGAGCTCACAGTCTAGTGGGGCGGGAGAGGGCAGAGAGGGTGCTATTGAGTTTTAAATTTATAAAAAGTCTCAGACAACTTTATAAATTTCCTGTGTAATCAAATAAATGTTCTTATGAATGAGTGCTGGAAAGGGATGACGTCCAGTGCAGGGAAAAACCGTCTGCTTCAATATCATGTGACTTCCGCAAAGGCAGTGATGTGGTTCTGGAAAAGAAAAAGGGATTCTAGAGTCAGAGTCCTGGGGAAACTGATTCCATAAAGTATTTAGCATTTTTGACAACAAATTAACTTAAAATAGATTTGTGGCCCACATGCATGTTGCCAAAACACAGAGTGTTGTTAAACTCACGGCTCTGTACTGTTACATAATGTTAGCTAATTATATCTTTTATTCAGTGTTCTTCATTAACTGACTAGATTAAAATGTTATACCTGCTTTGTTCAAAATTAACACTCAAATCTGAGTAGATAAAAATGGCAATACCAGATGCATTAATATTCTGTTCACTGTTAATGGAATTTGAATGTGCATGCTGTAGTTTCAGACTAATTGCTCCCTGTGAGACAGATGGTGTAGGGTGAGGTGGGCAAATGCTCAGACTGAAATAGCATTCATTCGTTGACAGAGATCTACTTAAATGCTTCATTTTTTGATGCACGAATTCAGACTCCATACCAAAATCTGGGTTTGTTGTGTTGTTTCTAGCTCCTCAAACCACAGAATTATTTACAGCCACCAAACCCTTTTAGCTTCTCTTTCTTTAAAAAGCCATCAATTATAGAAAAATAAACTTTTAGAATGGCTAATGTTGAAACAGATTCAGGCATGTAATATGCATGTCATATATGCTGAGATCTTGTAGTAAGAATTTGACAGTATATGATTAATCCTGCCCCATGTGGGATTATATTAAGATCTAGCATGAAGGGCTATCTCCTTATCATGTATCACAGCAACATGACAAAGCGGGCTCTTTCGTCACACTGGCCCCTCAGAGTGCTTTTCATAGCAGTTGTGTTCAGAGTTACACAGATACAGACTTAGGTGTTACTATGACAGAGATTAAACCCAAGTAGATAGAGAATAGAACTTGCTAAATATTCATTAGCAAGTATTCTTTCTAGTCCACATCACACCAGCAAGCAAAAGACTGAGGCTTGTCCTTGAGTGCAGGTGTCCCCTAGAGAAACATCGCTGTATGTCTTAAAGGTCATTTCAGATCCTGAAATTTAGAAAATTTAAGCCCAATTTTTGTATTCTACACATCAGAGCTGCCAGACATAGGTACTGGGAATTTAGTGTCTCCACTAGAAAGCAACTGCTCTTAACCACTGAGATGTCTCTCCAGTCCAATTTTAATGCTTCAAATTCTAAGTGAAAATCTCCATTTTACTATTTATTTCTCTATACAGATTATACTGTGCAACATAATCAGCATGTCATGTAAGTTAAGTTTCATTTATTTAGGACGCCAAAATTTAGTGGTGGCTTACTATTTGACAAGATCTGCCACTCACCAAATCCCTTTCTTGATAATCAGAAAAAGGGCAAAAGAACACTCCAGAAAAGTATTCAGAAACAAAATACTTCAGAAAACAAATATTTTTAAAAATATTAAGGGCTATTTCATTTTTTAAAAAATGCTACATTTCTATTGAGGAAAAAAATGAAGCAATAATAAGAGCAGACAAGCTAAGGGGTGAGGTGCAAATCCCTTGGGGTTGTGCAGGAAACCTGCGCAGAAGGACATAGTTCTCTGTTTTTGCTCTAGCTTTGCAACACAGCTCCAACACCAGTGCGCTAATGCGCACATACGTTTATTGCCTTAATTGGAGGTGTTCGCAGTGGCTAATCCCCATTATCCAGTCGAAGAGCCTGGCAAGGCAGTCTTTAAAGGACCTTCCCTGTGAAGTTTCCTCTTGATCATCTTCAGAACATTGGTTTTGGAACACCTACAAGACGTGTTTTACATATGACTTAAATATTAACTTCTTGGCTTCAGGGAAAGTACTTGTTGCTTCAGAGTTCTGGGTTGCTATTGTTAGATCACACACAATGAGTTTGTAAAAGGTTTATAAAAGCATCCTAAAGGGACAGTGTGCTCCATGACCCCTGCTAACATGTCATGTGACTATTTCTTCCAAGTAGATTGTAAATGAGTGAGATCATTTAGTAGGGGGAAATAAGTAAAGTTCCCTTTTCCAAGATGGCAGAAAAGACCTCATCTCTTAATAATAAATTGCAGAGTCAGCTTAAGTTTTTAACATCAAATAGGATATTTGTATTCCGATTTTTTTTACTTAGGTATTTGCTCTTTTGGTGAGGAAGCTGAATGGAACAGTAAACTCTGCAGGCAGATAAGTTAAATAACGAGTGTTTAAATGTGGACTCCACCACAATGGGAAATTGCCAAGCAGTTTGACCATTAAAAATCCAGCTTTCTCATCTACAAAACACAGATATACTTACTTGAATGGATTTTTATTAATTTTAAATCTTTCTTTGCCCATCTATTTGTGGTTTATCTATCATTTGTTTGTGGTTGATAATATTTAAAGCAATGAGATAAGAATTTTGAGAATTAAAGTGAAAAATAAGGAAAGAAAAAAGAGAATTAAAAAATAATTAGTTGGAAGTTTATAAATAAAATTCATCATTTGTTATTTCATCATAAAGTCCACAATTACAACTAGAAAGTGTGCAACTGTAATATCTAAAGCAACCTCAAAATTCAAATGTTTCTTACAAGAAGAATACAAAAATCATCTGATGGCAAACACATAACAAATGGTACAAGACAACTTATGTTCTGTGGTTTTTTTTGTGTTTGTTTGTTTTTGGGGTTTTTGTTTGTTTGTTTTGGGGTTTTTTTTGGTTTTTTTGTTTTGTTTTGTTTTTTGTTTTTTGTTTTTTTGTTTTTTTTTTTGTTTTTTTTTTTGGTCCATAAGCAACAGTCTTCGATTACAAAGTCACCCCCCTCTCATGGTTACTTGTGCAACAGAAGACACAGATTTCTAAAATACAAAATATTTAACATCCTGTAAAAATCTGGCACTAGGGATTCTGAATAAGGAATCACAGACCTACTATTAAATTGACCAGCAAGTCCACTGTTACATGAATGCTGTCTACATCTTGCCAGGGAAAGTTAAATTACATGTCATAATCAAAAGCACTGCCGTCCTTCATCTTGCTGGGTGCTTCCTTATTTCATTCATTGTCTGCTGTGAGACAGGGAGCATGGACAGAAGAAGGAAAAGAAAATGCCTGGTGTGATGGCCTGTGCCTATAATCCCCGCGAAAGGATGGGCTACAGGGTTCAAGGGTAGATGTTGTTACATAGTGAACTCAAGATCAGCCTGTGTGACAGAGACTCTTTCGGAAGAAACAAAAAGTCCAAACAAGATAAACAACAAAAGTAGCACCCTAAAAGGAGAATGTGTTCTCTGATCCCCACGAATGTGTCATGTGAAAGGAGTGAGGTCATTTAGTAAAGAGAAATGATTTTAAATCTAACGAAGAAATTATTAGAGAAATTCAGACTTGGGTTGTGGAACTAGTGGTAAAATTCAAAGTAAGCAGTTATTTTGCTTAAAGAAGCTGATAATAGGGAAAAATAAAAGCTCAGACATGAGCTGCACTGGAGTGGAGGACTTTTGGGGACAGTTTCTCTCTACATAGTGGTTTTGGTTTAGTGCAGAGTTTTGTATTAATTCAGAGTTTTCTTTCCATTCAAAAATTTCCTTTTTGCAAAAGCTGCTTTCTGAAAGAATCCTCTCTGCCTAGGAAGAAGGGATCTGTGGGAGGCTTCCTTTGACAAATTAATTAAACAAAAGTTGGGTCTAGACTCTGCTGGGGCTTTAGCTACAGAGCTTAGGAATCCGAACCCAAGTAGCCAGAGAAGCTGCAGCTCCCAGTCCAGATCTTTAGGTACCCTGGGCTCATTGTGGGCTTCATGCTGGAGTTTGACTAAACACAGGCACAACCCGAGTGCCTTGGATTTAATTGATCCAAGGCCTCACACAGCCACCAGAATGCAGAGAGGCTTTGGTTAATCCTAGAGCACAACCCATATTGAGAGCTGCTGCACCAGATCATCTAACCCATGTGCATGGAGGCCAAGTTCTGGTTTCATACCCAAATCGCCTGGGAAGCCTGATGTGGATTGTCCCCATCTCCAGATCTAAGCCAGTGCCTAGTACAGCAGAATCCCTGGGCTTGTGGCCCAGAAATTTCCCAGTTTTGTTTTGAAAGTGCTATAAAAAGAAATTGGCCCTTGGAGGGTGTAGGTATCCAAATACTTTGTCCTCTAAGTTTCATGTCCTTCCTAAGGCTCAGCACTTTCCTATCAATCACACCTTTAGTCTATATTCCCAGCTATGTTCCCAGAAACCTATCATGTTTATGAATGTAGACTCCTATCTTCCCTCATCTGACTGCAAAGTTTGACTATGTGGACATTTCTTTTTTCTTTTTTCTTTCTTTTTTTTTTTGTTGTTTTGTTTTGTTTTTTCAAGACAAGGTTTCTCTGTGTAGCTTTGCGCCTTTCCTGGAACTCACTTGGTAGCCCAGGTTGGCCTTGAACTCACAGAGATCCGCCTGGCTCTGCCTCCCAAGTGCTGGGATTAAAGGCGTGCGCCACCACTGCCCGGCTTATGTGGACATTTTTTGACTGCTAATTCCTACCTCCACTCCAGCTGTAGGTTCTATTTTTCTCCCCACTCATCTGGACCCCATGATGATCCAACTATGCTCAACATCTTCCCCAAGCCTCTTACCCTATATTCTTACTCCAGCTGTCAGCCAATGGCTTTCCAGTCTCTGCTTAAGTGATGCTGTGAAGGGAAGTTGGGTTTCTCCTCACATTCTCATCTACCACAGCTGTCACACTGCCCTCTGTGTCCACTTACAAAACTATCTCCTTCATTGCTATACCAGAAACTCAAAAGGCCTGAGGAATACACTATGGGCTTTTGACTTGGTATTTATTCAAGTTTCATTTACTGCAACCATAATAGAAATCACGTTGACATTCTTAGTAACTAAAACGTGTCTGTAAGTTGTTCTCATGCTTCTTTCATGTTAATTTAACCTAACTAACTGCAGTCTTATTTGTTTAGTTCCTTTTTAACCTTAAAAATTGCTTTAGATTGGCTACATAAGCACATGGCAATCCCCAACAAAGAAGAATCCAAAGACACAG